CTGTATTGCAGAAGGGATACCCACACTAAAAGTGGCAACCCGACTTCCAGTTAATCACACTGTATTGCAGAAGGGGATACCATACTAAAAGTGGCAACCCGAATTCCATTTAATCACACTGTATTGCAGAAAGGGATACCCATACTAAAAGTGGCAACCCGACTTCCATTTAATCACACTGTATTGCAGAAGGGGATACCCACACTAAAAGTGGCAACCCGACTTCCAGTTAATCACACTGTATTGCAGAAGGGGATACCCATACTAAAAGTGGCAACCCGACTTCCATTTAATCACACTGTATTGCAGAAGGGGATACCCACACTAAAAGTGGCAACCCGACTTCCAGTTAATCACACTGTATTGCAGAAGGGGATACCATACTAAAAGTGGCAACCCGAATTCCATTTAATCACACTGTATTGCAGAAAGGGATACCCATACTAAAAGTGGCAACCCGACTTCCATTTAATCACACTGTATTGCAGAAAGGGATACCCATACTAAAAGTGGCAACCCGACTTCCATTTAATCATCCTGTATTGCAGAAAGGGATACCCATACTAAAAGTGGCAACCCGACTTCCATTTAATCACACTGTATTGCAGAAAAGGGATACCCATACTAAAAGTGGCAACCCGACTTCCAGTTAATCACACTGTATTGCAGAAAGGGATACCCATACTAAAAGTGGCAACCCGACTTCCATTTAATCACTCTGTATTGCAGAAGGGGATACCCATACTAAAAGTGGCAACCCGACTTCCATTTAATCACTCTGTATTGCAGAAGGGGATACCAATACTAAAAGTGGCAATCTGACTTCCATTTAATCACACTGTATTGCAGAAGGGGATACCCATACTAAAAGTGGCAACCCGACTTCCATTTAATCACACTGTATTGCAGAAGGGGATACCCATACTAAAAGCGGCAACCCGACTTCCATTTAATCACACTGTATTGCAGAAGGGGATATCATACTAAAAGTGACAACCCGACTTCCATTTAATCACACTGTATTGCAGAAGGGGATACCCATACTAAAAGTGGCAACCCGACTTCCATTTAATCATCCTGTATTGCAGAAAGGGATACCCACACAAATACCCATGCTGTAATGTCACATCTCTCTCAGTTACAAATAAGCGAATAATGACATTCATCATATATTGGATGTGTTATAGTAAAGCCAACGGATGAAAACGACATCCATTTCGGTCATAACTGCAGATACCAAGTGGGTAATACTTTCAATATTTAAAATCATGTCCATTGTCTATGGGTGATGGAGCCTGAATCAACCATTAAGAAACAGGTTTCATTTGGAAGGATATTGACTGTTGTCACTGCCTGACTGGCACGTCACTGACCGCATGACGTAATGCATATAGATGGGTACGTTTTACGAAACATTCAATGTTTAGTGAATGTTCGTGAGAGATGAGAACAGTTTTTTCTGAATTTAAGTATGAAGCAATACTATGTTAAATTTCATTACAGGATATTTGCCATCCCAAAACACAAAATCACGATATTTATTTATGATAAATCATGTATTTCTCTCTCAGTCTTATTGTACGTCGGTAACAGTTACGTTGTGACACTGAAACAAATCACCTGCTTCTATATCACTTACTGATAAAAAAACGTTCATAAAGTATAAAGTCACATCCCCCTTCTAACCCAGTCACAGACGAAGCACGTTAAATCAAAACTACCCGCTCACATAATGATAAGCATTGGTGCAAATAAAAACCAGTCACATACACATTTAAAGTATTTATGAATGTTAGCTTTTTCTTTGAAACTAATTGTACAACCATACGTGCTATTCCATTTAAGTGCTACAACGCCTGCACGGCGAGTAGCCAGGAGATTAAAGCGTTCGCTCGTCGACCCGAAGGTCCTGGTTCGATTCTCCACGTGGGTACCTGTAAATCCTCATTTATGGTGTCCCCCGCCGTGCTATTGCTGGCTAAAATGCTAAAACTAAGTGACTTACTCACTCTTTGGCAATGTGGTATTTTGGACACATTGTTATCCCATTTGCTTGTTTCGTGGGAATTGGCATATACTTTCAAAAATGGCATCTGAACTTTTGTTTTCCCACGACAATCGATTACTTTATGAAGTATAACATTACTAACGAGCAATATTGAAAGTTGTATTTACATGTATGTATGTGTCCGAAACATACCTCCTACAACATGTAACATGTTAGAACGCAGGCAAATGGCCACCTAAGGATAACATCTGACATTTGGCGTTTACGATATATCGTTACGACATGCATCTTGAATGTATCATTTTATTATTGTCTTTAGTTCATTTTATGACACAAATATGATCAAAACAGCAGTGACATAAAACATGGATTGGTGTGTTCATCAGACACAGCAAGAAGCTTAACGGAAATGTAAAAAACTATGTAGATCATAACTCTGCAATAACTAGAGTTGAAATATATAGTGTAGGTGACAAGCGAACTGGGTTTACACACTAGTGTAGGTGACAAGCGAACTGGGTTTACACACTAGTGTAGGTGACAAGCGAACTGGGTTTACACACTAGTGTAGGTGACAAGCGAACTGGGTTTACACACTAGTGTAGGTGACAAGCGAACTGGGTTTACACACTAGTGTAGGTGACAAGCGAACTGGGTTTACACGCTAGTGTAGGTGACAAGCGAACTGGGTTTACACACTAGTGTAGGTGACAAGCTCACTGGGTTTACACACTAGTGTAGGTGACAAGCGAACTGGGTTTACACACTAGTGTAGGTGACAAGCGAACTGGGTTTACACACTAGTGTAGGTGACAAGCGAACTGGGTTTACACACTAGTGTAGGTGACAGGCGAACTGGGTTTACACACTAGTGTGGGTGACAAGCGAACTGGGTTTACACACTAGTGTAGGTGACAAGCGAACTGGGTTTACACACTAGTGTAGGTGACAAGCGAACTGGGTTTACACACCAGTGTAGGTGACAAACGAACTGGGTTTACACACTAGTGTAGGTGACAAGCGAACTGGGTTTACACACTAGTGTAGGTGACAAGCGAACTGGGTTTACACGCTAGTGTAGGTGACAGGCGAACTGGGTTTACACACTAGTGTAGGTGACAAGCGAACTGGGTTTACACACTAGTGTAGGTGACAAGCGAACTGGGCTTACACACTAGTGTAGGTGACAAGCGAACTGGGTTTACAAACCAGTGTAGGTGACAAGCGAACTGGGTTTACACACCAGTGTAGGTGACAAGCGAACTGGGTTTACACACTGAGTGTAGGTGACAAGCGAACTGGGTTTACACACCAGTGTAGGTGACAAGCGAACTGGGTTTACACACCAGTGTAGGTGACAAGCGAACTGGGTTTACACACTAGTGTATGTGACAGGCGAACTGGGTTTACACACTAGTGTAGGGGACAAGCGAACTGGGTTTACACACTAGTGTAGGTGACAAGCGAACTGGGTTTACACACTAGTGTAGGTGACAAGCGAACTGGGTTTACAAACTAGTGTAGGTGACAAGCGAACTGGGTTTACACACTAGTGTAGGTGACAAGCGAACTGGGTTTACACGCTAGTGTAGGTGACAAGCGAACTGGGTTTACACACTAGGGTAGGTGACAAGCGAACTGGGTTTACACACTAGTGTAGGTGACAAGTGAACTGGGTTTACACACTAGTGTAGGTGACAAGCGAACTGGGTTTACACACTAGTGTAGGTGACAAGCGAACTGGGTTTACACGCTAGTGTAGGTGACAAGCGAACTGGGTTTACACACTAGTGTAGGTGACAAGCGAACTGGGTTTACACACTAGTGTAGGTGACAAGCGAACTGGGTTTACACACTAGTGTAGGTGACAAGCGAACTGGGTTTACACACTAGTGTAGGTGGCAAGCGAACTGGGTTTATACACTAGTGTAGGTGTCAAGCGAACTGGGTTTACACACTAGTGTGGGTGACAAGCGAACTGGGTTTACACACTAGTGTATGTGACAAGCGAACTGGGTTTACACACTAGTGTAGGGGACAAGCGAACTGGGTTTACACACTAGTGTAGGTGACAAGCGAACTGGGTTTACACACTAGTGTATGTGACAAGCTCACTGGGTTTACACACTAGTGTAGGTGACAAACGAACTGGGTTTACACACTACTCCTCATCCGCGACACACTACATTATCCCTCAGTGTCTGGTTAACATCATACAATGTGTAGGATGCATTAGCACATGCTATATATCATATATTGCCAGAGGAGTGCTCACTGTTTACATAGAGTGGCTATTCCAGCTGGTCGCATTGCAAACAGGTAACCTTTAACGCGAGCCTCATCGTTAAATCATTTCCTGAGTGACTGGTCAGTTTCTTTACTCGCGTGTCTAAATCGGGATTGTCTGTAAACTTGCAGACGTTTATATTTAAATTGGACCACAGCATGCATCACAGTGACAGAGACCAACGGCAAGAAAGGCAAATACAAGTGTGCATATGACTACGCTTAGTTTTCATTGTACACCTGAAGAGTCGTTGAACGGCGAAAGATCTGTGCAGATATAGGAGTTTGTACACGAAGAAGTATATATATTTCAACGGCTCTTCAGGTGTACAATGAAAACTAAACGCAGTCATATGCACACTTGACTACACTTAGTTTTCATTGTACACCTGAAGAACCGTTATTCGGATCCGTTATAATATAACCAACATGTTTTGGGTTAACAAACAGAGTCTATCTCCGTAAAGCACATGTCGCAGTGTTGCAATTGTTGCATGTTGTTATTGTATATACAAAACAGCGGGACTACTAACCGCTTGAGTCTATCTACACTGAGCGAGGTGTGGAGATTCATGTGTAAGCTTCAACGCCTTGGCGCCTATATATAGATACCAGCAAAAATGAAGCTACACATGGTTCCATCGCACGAGGTACCATACACTGATGAACAAACACAGCTTATTACAACAATGAAGTATTCACCTACCTCACATAGCGTCTGTCAACTGGCCAGACCCCGCGCAGGACTCGTGGATATCCCAGGAAGAACACACGTGTAAGCTAGCACAAGCACATCTGGCGTCAAGATTCACCTCGGGAAATACGTTGGGTGAGCAATACTGTTGATTGCCTTTCGGCACCAAAGGCCCAGTACTGCTGATGGCTTTACCTCTGTTGTTCAATGATTGTTCATCTGAGAGAGCCTGGGTGTTGATAGCCATCACTTATGTGCTCAATCTCCTTTCACGATCTGTTGTAATGTTCTATTTATTGCAATTGTTCAATTCATTTTTCTCGTTTGTGAAAAGAAAACATCGACGTTGTCAATCTGAGGAAATTAATACCTACTTTATGTTGAGAACAGCTTTCCATTCCCAATACAGGGAGGTAATTTGTTGCTGATGTTCCTCTCTGAAGGATTTATTTACAAAAGCAGTGGATTATAACGTCCCATTTGTAGGTTTGCTGAAAAGCTTTGAGCCTCACTGCAAAAGATGTTTAGTCGGCCCGAACAGTTTCCCTGTATAACGTACATAGGCTCTATATCAAAACATACATCGAAGTGATCAGGTTTTTTCTGGTGATGAAAATGGAAACTTTGGCTACCCAGGTACCGTCAAGCATCTTGAGCACCATTAACCATCCATGCTGACGTACTGTCAACATTACGGGATAATATTCCTTTCTTCTCAAGGAGCCTTTCAACTACTGTTAAAGGGTAAGAGAGCCTTGAAATGACCTAAGGTCATCAAGATGTTACGCTGCCACTAAGTACAATGTTGATTATGGATAAACAACGACTCATCTCCCGTGTCGTGGCCAATGTAGTACGTGACTCTCATGATAGAGTTGGGGACATTCTGAGGAGTGAACTAGGCATGATCAATGTTTCCGAATGTTAGGTTTCCATCAAGACTCATAATCACAGACACTTCTGGTCCTGGAGTGATTTGTATCGATGTATGAGTGCTGGCTCTATCAGCCAGAGACTAAACGCACCGTAAAAGCAATGGAAACGCATGTCTCCCCTTTCGAAGAGGCCAAGTGTTATTCCATCAGCTGGAAAGGTGATGGCCTGGGTGCTCTGAGATTTCAAAGGAATCTTGCTCGCGGACTATCTCGCAAAAGGTCAGATCATTAATTGTCAGCATATTGATAACCGGTTCAGACCGCCGCTTAAAAATATCACGGTTTAACATCGTGGAGTGAGTGAGTGGGTGGGCGAGTTTCATTTCACACATCAACAACATTTCAGCAATATGATTTAAACAATATTTTATTTCCATTAGTGTTCACATTTTACATGTTACATATCAATGCTTCTCTGCATATAGTACATAATAGTCAGTTCTATAAAGAAGACATTAATGAGTGACTCAAATCAAAATAAAATGAAAATAAAAAGCAAGACACCAAATGCATTTTATATTCTTAAGTTGTTACTTAAATTCCGTAAAGCTGTTAGCTTCAATTACGTAAGTTTGAACTGATTTTATGATGATTTCATTGTCTGAAGGAGATGAATCGCCATTGCCGTGGAGTATAGTAGGTATGCTAAGGTGGTTAACAACAAAGCATTGTTTCAATTCTGAACTGGGGCATAGCGGGGACAAGACAGAAAGAAGTGGAAAACAAATTCTCTGTTATTACCACATGAACAAGTGGGATCATCAATCAAAAATCTGTCAAATAAATGTGATTATATATCACTACAACCTAGCCTAATTCTAGATAGAATCACTTGGCATTGGAGGTGCTTATAATTAGCAATGAATGTAAATTTGAGGAAAGCTAATTTCTCTCGAGATCAATTGCTTAAACCTAGATAAGGAATCAACATTTCTAATGTTAATATCAAGTGCATTCCAAGCTTGAACAACAGTTGGCATAAAAGATCAATCATACTGGGAGAAACGCCCTGCATAGGTCTGAAAGTCGTTAGAGTTACGAAGGTTATATCCTGTTATGTTGGAGATATTAGGTGGGACCCATAATGATAGGTATTTAGGAGTCAGCCGATTTACCATTTTTTTAAAATATATATAATTTATGGTAATGCCGTCTGTCAGCAAAAACCCGTTTCCCTGTAAAGTTTTTCATAACTGGTTCCTCGTATTGCTCCACATATTGTTCAGATATAACTACCAGTAATCAAATAGTGGTAATATAAAATATTTATTCTATTGTTTTCCTTGAAAACTTCATTTAAAACTCCACAGACCCTTAATCATGGATGTGACCCTTTCTGGAATGTTATTTCTCTCCAATTTGCATCTGTTTGAAATATTAAACCCAATGTTTTTCAACTTTTTGCTTCAACAGTTGGGATTTCTGACTAAGGTTTTCAACGGGTTTTTTTCTGGATTAAACATTTCCTGACACTGATTGTTCAAAATTGAAATAGTTTCTAAATCATCGCTTACATGTGTTACTGTATTGCCTGGATCATAGCTTATTGCGTATTGTCTGCAAAGAGTTGCACATCAATATGGTTTTAAAATATTTATTTCTGATACATTGTTCAGAAACTGGATCGGCAAACAAGCCAAACGCTTATATTAATGCCTCTCCAGACAAAACAACATTTATGCGACTTACATTTCATAACAATATTACAATAGTACATGATATCATAAATGACAATAAGCATACAATATGCATGAATATGAACATCCATACAGCCAAAACACTTTTAGTTCTGCAAAGGGACAGATGAAAACGTAAGATTGATTAAATCTTCTTGAACTGGTAATAAAGGTATGTACAGATTTAATAATATCATGTAATTCTAAGTTACCACACAGAGCGTCATTTATGTTATATCAATGTTTGAAATAAAATAAATTGTTTCTTATGGCATCATACTTGGGACATATAAAAAGATAATGAAGGGTGTCCTCAAAGGCGGCACCACAAATACATGATGGGTTATCGGATATAAATCTACTTACCTTATGGGCATTTAAATCGCTGCATTCTAATCGGAGTCTACAGTGGATTATTTGACAGAACCTGTTTCCAATGTTGATATCAAATCCGAATGAAGTATTACAATATAGTGTAATCTTGTTTTTGAATTCACTTGGTGACTGTATAAGTCTGAGTCCTTCAGGTAAAGAATTCCAAAGTTCAATAGTACTGGGTAAAAATGATTTAGCATATGAAGTCGTTCTTGTACGGATTTTTTTTGCAAATTTGAAGGGTTTCTATGGGTTATGGGTTTGCAACAGAGACAGATTCTGGCACGAGACTGTTTAAGTAATCTTGTGTTTTGTTATGCATCATTTTATGGAATAGAGTCAATGTCTGAGTGCGCCTTCTTTCTACTAGAGGTTAAAGATCAGTTTCTGAATATAATTTATTACGACTTGTTCCCCTTGTAGCCCTACATATTGCTCTTAGTGCAATAAGCTGCAATTTTTCCAGCATCGATGCCTGGCTAACTGTACAGTTATCCCATATACAACTACAATGTTTAAATAATAGCAGAATAAAGGATTTATACATAACAAATAGTCTTTTTTCTTGATAATCGATTTTTGTAAACAATTTATCACTGGAGAAACTTTATCAAATAGAGAATTTATCTGTGCAGTCCAATTTGCGTCTTTTTGAAACCAGAAGCCTTAATGTTTGTTCTCGGAAACTTCATTTATAGGAATATTGTGCATAGATAATCTCGGACTAGTCTGTATGGAACGCGTCTTTTACTAAACTGTATAGTTTCAGTCTTAGAAGGGTTGTATTTAACTTGCCACCGTACCGCCCATTGAGAAATCATTTCTAAATCTTTATTGAGGCGCACAGCATATCATCATCGGTAGGATCTTCTATTATAAAATAAAGTGAAGTGTCATCAGCAAAGAGTCTTATATGGCAATCTATATTTTCAACAAGATCATATATATAGACAAGAAAGAATAATGGGGGACACTAGCTAATACAGATCTATACTCGGAATTGTAACTGTTTATAACAACATTCTGAACTCTTTCATGAAGATAACTATCAAACCAATCTAGTAATTTATCACATATTCCATATGACTGTAATTTGTATAGAAGTCCCTTATGCCACACTTTATCAAAGGCCTTGCATATATCACAAAATACAGCTCTTACTTCTTTACCTTTATCCATGGCACTGGAAATAAAGTTATACAAATCTAATAATTGATAAGTTGTTGAATCACAAGGAATAAAACCAGACTGTAATCTCTTTATAAGACCATTCTCTTTAAAAATAATTAAAGACGTATTTGTGAACACATTTTTCAAAGACTTCAGATAAACAACATGTGAGAGACACTGGTCTATAATTGCTACATTCATTAACACATTCTTTCTTATGAATGGGTATTACGGAACCACGTTTCCATGCTCTGGGGAAATTTGTTAAGTCTAAAGACTTATTTAATATTAAAGTGAGAGGGTAAGACAGCACTTTGTCAGTAAGCCTAAGGAATTTATTACCAATACCATCAGGGCCCGTCGCTTTGCGAAAGTCTAGAGAAAGAAGTATGTCTTCAACATATCTCTGGGTTAGTTCAATGTATGCTAAACAGTTCAATGATTTACTACATAGGGGTGGGAGGGAACGTTCTGGATCTTCACCTGTAGATTGGGCAACGAAAAAATCGTTAAAGATATTAGCTATAGATGTAGTATCATCATAAATTACATTTTCATGGGAAATAGAAAGAAAGGATGTTGATGTCTCTATTTTCTTCAGATCAATATTACCAACAAGATGGTTTAAACATATTTTTATTCCGTCAATGCAGAAACCTGGATAGGCGAACAAGCCTAGTGGCTTATATAAACGCCGCTCCAGTACACGGTTCCAATATAGCTGGATACATATTTGAAATAGACGGACAAAAAAGAATAATATTGAGACAAAATTACACTCAGAAAAATGATTGAATAATAAATATTTGGTTATGGTGTTGGTTGTGCCTAGTAACGAAAAGAGTTGTGGCAGAAAATCAAGTTATATAAATCTTGACTTGCATTGAATATACATGTATATGTAGAGATGATAATCACTGGAAGCGCTTACTTTTAGAAATGAACTGGTGTAATGAGTTGAGAATGTCACAATTTGTTGAGTTATCCAATGCGCCGTTACCGTATA